TCACTCTGTGCCAGTTTCCTCATCTGTAAAATGGGGACAATAGCAGTATCAGCCTCATAATGTCATTTAGGATATATATATATATAGTGCTGAGAATAGTGCTGACACATACTAAGTGCTATATTAGTATTAGCTGTTGTTTCCAAAACTTGATTTTAAACCAAAAGGAAATCTAAATTGAAATGTCTGTATTCACTTGAAAACACTGAGATTTGGAGAGAGAGACCTAAAGGGACTTAAATGTTGTCAGTTTTGCAACTAATATCCTTGATGAAGTTTGACATTCTCTTGAGCATTTTCTTTTTTTTCCATCTGTCTCTCACTTTCTCATTAACAGTTAATGAGAAGACTGCAGTGTCTTCTCTAAAAATCGAATCCTCCTAAAACAGAAATAAATCCCCTCCTCTGTCTTGGGACTGGATTTTCTGTGACACCCTCTGGCCCCCTTCTGCCTCCCCGCCTCAGTCAGTGACAGATGGTTCTGCCAGAAATAAGCTGTCCTCCCTCACCCCCTGCAGTGAAGATGCTGGCGTTGACCCCAGCAACATCACACAACCCCAAACTCTAAAGCTGCTAAGACAGTTTGTTTAGCGTGGGCGCCGCCCAAGAAGGAAAATAGCAAAGAGACACTTGTAGCATGTGAGTCAGGCAAGAAGCTGGCCCCTCTTCTCTGCAGAATGTGCTGACTCAGGCGTGCCAGAAATCATGGGACACGCCGTGTCGGGGGCCAGGCCACACCATGGGACAGCACTGCCGTGCACTGCTGAGGCCAGCCAGGGTGGAAAGTACCTCTGCTGGTGAATGCGGTTTGGTGGTGCTGTACTTCCGACGTGCCACGGCCAGGGCACGACCAAGGTGGGACGAGAGGAAACTGTCAGAGATGTTGGTTTTAAGAGAAAGACTGTATGGAAACAAAACATCCCCCACCCTTTCGGGAGAAAAGCTTAAAAACAATCATGCACAATCAGCTAAGAGTCAAAATATATTCTTAAGCAAAGGTCTTTAAGATATTTGGCTTTGTATACTCACCTCTGTGTGGGCAGCATTACAACAGCTACATTAGGTGATGAACGTTTTCCTGTTTCATACGTGGCCTTTTTGAGAAGGAAAAGAAAAGACATATGAGGAAGGAATAAAGGCAAAGAAGGGGAAATTGGATGCTGATGCAGTAAGGCTCTTTGTGACTAGAATAAATCTCTGAAAAAGAAAACCTTGAAGTAACTAGAAGATATCATTTCCCTGAGCACTGCTGAATTGGGGTCATGTGAAACCTTTAGAAGGTATCAGTTATACTTGGTGCATTGTGCTGGCCAGACTCTATGGCAACGTTCTCGTCTTTTATGTCCTTCAGATAATGTGTCCAATTGCCTATTTAAAATACTGACAAAAGGACATTTTCGCGTGCAGAGGTCCCTGATTAAGGGCTCTTCTTAAGTGAGTGAACCACTTTCCAGCAAGATATCCTAATGACTGTGGGCAGGGATGACCCAGAACCATAGGTTTTGAGCTGTTGTGAGAGATGCATGATGAGCCACCCCACCCCCACCCCCAGCAGGCATGGTTTCCTGTCTGTGTGAATTCACCACAAAGCAAGTGCCCACAACGGAGGGGCTGCCCCTGCTCTTCTTCACATCCTCTTCCACTGTGTTCACACAACACCCACCTGACATCACCACTGACAGAGGCAAGAAACCTGGCGCCTCTTACTCCCTCTGCAAGAGCCGAATTTATTTCATGGCTTTCATGTAGGTGTGGTTTTTATGGTTGGCTGAGATCTAGCAAATGTTTCTTTGTTCACTGCACTAACAGTGATCAGTACTTTAAGGTTCTTGAGTACACTGCTGTCTTTCTTGTGGTGGTCTGTGTAGGGTCCCCTGAAGTTGGAAGAGCAAAAACCGCACTGAGGATTTCTCACTTCACCAGCATAAAGGGAATGCGTTAAGAGCTCCAGCTGTAGGCTTTGGGGGACACTGCCTTTGATGGCAGCACAGAGTATTCCAGTACCATCTATGATAGGGTGTGATGTAATAACCTCCCCACCGGTGACAGGACTTGAGAAGAGCCAATCAGATAATGTAGAAGGGCTTTTAGGGAGGTTAATCAGAGTGACCCCTGAGGTGCCTTCCACTCCCGAATTCTTTGATTCTCTTGAGGCAGTTCTGCTGGAATCCTATGGAGCTGGTAGGAAGTAGGTACAGATTTTAAAATCTGCAGTTCTGATCTGGAGGGAGGACAATTCAATAGCACAAGGATGACAGCCGGAGACAGGGAACTGGCAAAATTGATGGGCATTAGAGAGGGGCAGTGAATGGGCGGTGTCAATTAGCCAGAGCCCAGAAGAAGGGGCATGGGGACTGGCTGGGTAATTAGAAAAGAAAATGGATCCTAAGCCCTCTTGGTTATAGAAACGGGTTGTTTGTGCAAAAACACGCCTCTGGCTCTTTCTTGTCCTTGAAATCCCTGGCATTTTGATCAGTATCTCTAGTGAACAGTATCTCCAGGAAGCCATTGTGAAAATGAGGATGTGATCCCTGCAGATAGGAGATCGTGTCCATAGATTCTGGCAATACTTTTTGCACAATATCAGGCAATTCCTTTTCCCCTCAGGGCCCCATTGTCTCCAAGGGCTTATGAGTTCTAGTAGATTTCTTATAGACTCCATGAGATTTTCTACAAAAACAATCAGCTGTCTGCAAATAAGGACAATTTTAATTCACCCTTTCCAATATTTTCACCCTTTCTTTCTTTTTCCCTGCTTTATTGCATTAGCTAGGACCTCCAGTATAGTGTGAAATAAAAGTGATCAGTCTAGAGGCCCTTGTCTTGTTCCTGGTAGTAAGGAGAAAGCTTTAGTCTTTCATCATTAAGGATGAGGTTAGCTGGAAGTAGTTTTATAGATGCCCCTTTTCAGTTTGAGGAAGTTTCTTTTGATTTTTGTTTGATGAGAATTTTTATTAAGAATGGATGTTAAATTTTATCAAATGCCTTTTCTGCGTATGCTGAGATGATAGAATTCTTTTCTTTTTTTCAAAATAGTTTATTGTCAAGTTGGTTTCCATATAACACCCAGTGCTCATCCCATAAGTGCCCTCCATGCCCATCACCCCCCTTTCCCTCCCCCCTCCCCCCATCAGCCCTCAGTTTGTTCTCAGTATTTAAGAGTCTCTCCTAGTTTGCCTCCCTCCCGCTCCCCAACTATTTTCCCGTTCTCCTCCCCCATGGTCCTCCATTAAGTTCCTCCTAATCCTCCTATACGTGTAAACATATGGTATCTGTCCTTCTCTGCCTGACTTACTTCGCTCAGCATAACACCCTCAAGTTCCATCCATGTTGTTACACATGGCCAGATTTCATTCTTTCTCATTGCCATGTAGTATTCCATGGTATAGATAAACCACATCTTCTTGATCCGTTCATCCGTTGATGGACACTTAGGCTCTTTCCATGTTTTGGCTATTGTTGCGAGTGCTGCTATGAACATTGGGGTACATGTGCCCCCATGCATCAGCACTCCTGTATCCCTTGGGTAAATTCCTAGCAGTGCTATTGCTGGGTCATAGAGGAGTTCTATTGTTAATTTTTTGAGGAACCTCCACACTGTTTTCCAGAGGAGCTGCACACTGTTGGTGGGAATGTAACTGGTGCAGCGCCTCTGGATAGGATTTTTTTCTTAAAGTGTTAATGTACTGCATTATATTTCCTGAATGATTCAAATAGTGGACTCTATTCAGGCAGTTAAACTACTTCCAGGTGTATTTAATCCTTTTGAAGCTTGTTTTTAAAGTTATTTATGATGGATCTCCAGAGGCGTTGACTCTAATGCTAATTTAGCCTCACTATTGAGACAAGACCTTTCCAAGGACTTTACCCAACATCACATCATTTTCTGAGATTTCTCTGCTTTGACTGAAGAGGCCCTTTCCTTCTTCAAGCACTGAGACTTGTATAGCGAACTTCCTGTTCATTCTTCCCCACTTTGTAGAGTTTTACCTTGCAACTCATTATTCGGCCAAAGATTCAAGGAAACCCCTCTGAAGTTCTCCAGAGCTCCTTCTGCACAACTACCTCCTCTCTCATGTTTTGTCACGTGAATCCTCACCACCTCTATCTCCTCAGACATTGTCTTTCATCTCCTCACCTCAGTGAAATTGCTAGGCTCTATTTGGTTTCCTTTCTCTGTGCTGCTGTCTAGAAACTACCCTGCCAGGAGTGCATAATAATCATTTTATGCACCGAGTTTGCTTCCTCTCTCCCATGGGTCAAAATGCTGTGCTGTCCATGGTCCATGCTGAGATGGACCATTGCATAGATTCTTAGCTCTGTCTGCAAATCCTACAGTTATGACTCCCCAGGAACAGAGATGGACATTTCATACACAGCAATGTGTCCACACTATCACCATGCCTCTTCATGCCTGTGCTAGAGCAATGTTACCTGTTTTGCTATTTTGATTAAAAGCATTTTGCACTGGAATGTCACAGAAAAGGGAACTGGAGGTGGAATCAGATCTCTGCCTGCTCACTTAGTGACATCAGTGATAACCACTGCAAGCCTGAGTTCTGGCTTCTAAAAATGACAGTAAGGATGAGTTACCAGCTCACCACTCTGGCATGTTGTAAGGAATAAACCAGGTAATGCAGATGATAACACATACCCTTCTAGCACTGAACAGTCCCCTCTGAGTGCTCCATCCTTCCCATGTGACAAACTTCTGATCAGGCCTTACCTCCCTTCTGCTCTTGCTGTGATTGTCCCTTTCTGGTCCACTCGTCTCTCCAACCTGTTGGCTCAACCAAATATCTCTAAAATATTCAGAAGAGCCACCTGGAAATATTACTTGTTAGTGAATTTATAATCATGCTGCTGTCCTAAAATGGTTAGAGAGACTTCTGTATTTGGTATTGAGCCACTTTATCTTAGAGGTACAAAGTATAATATCACAAAGTCGTGTACCAGAGTTTCTTGTGCTATAGGCTAATCCATTATTTTTCCCCCCTCAGGGCTACCTGGAGCTACAGGAACTCCAGGGGAAAAGGGAGACCCTGGTGAGCTGGGTTTGACTGGAAATGAGGGCCCAGCAGGGCCAAAGGGTGACAAAGGAGACAAAGGGGACGTGTCCAATGACGTGCTCCCCACAGGTAAGGGGCTAGCACTCAGGCTCTCTCCCAGGGTGAACAGGCTCCCAAACCAGCCTGTGAATGGGCCCCCAAACCAGCCTGATTTTTAGTACAAAGGTGCATGGGTCTTCTCTCCTTTTCTACTTTTCATGCCCATCTGCTTTGCCACATGTTTTAGAGTTCTGAGCTTCCAAAAAGGAGAAAACTGCAGGTTACCCCGAGGTTGACGAGACCGAATCTGAGATCTAAGCTTAAGCAGTTTAGATAATTCAGGTCTAAACATCATGATTAGATTGAATTAGGATGAAGGGAGATTCCTTTCTCCAAATATGTATTAAGTCTAGCACAATCTAGAACCAGACAAGTAAGCAAGCAATTTAAGATACCTCAGAGGACAAACTGACAGAAAACTCAGGCATTTTCTTCACAAAGTAGGATCATCTTCAGATCTTTATCCTCAGCTTTTTGACGTAGAACTGGGCAGATATGGATGTTGATCTTTTTTTTTTCTGTCTTCCAGCCCAGGTTCAAAGCAGATAGTTGGCATCTGGGGTGGGGAGGGGAGGTAAAGGCACAATAATCTGGAAGGACAATCACATGGTGGAAAGACAGGAGACAGCTGACAGTCATGGAGGAGGAAGGGACAGAAGAATTTTAAAAGCACAGTACTTCAGAGACATAACTATCCTGTTAATGTAGTCAATAAACATTTTTAAATATCAAAGAACACCATTCATGAATTAGAGACTTTTGTTGTAGCTGAGAATATGAATATGAAAATGAGTAAGTCAGGACATCTGTCCTCAAGAAGCTAGGATGATAGATGTTCAAGAATAATGACCCTGAATCAGTCACCCATCTAGCCTGCCAAAATTTATTGAGCACTTACTATTTGCCGGGCACTGTGCTCAAACCAAAGCATCAAGGAAAGCTCAAGTTATGAGTAGCATGCTTTGTTTCCAAAATAGGAAGGTTGCAGTGTAAAATATATAAAATTTAAGAAGTGTCTTGACAGGATCATATATTTGTGAATATACTTTGGAAGCACGAGATCATGTTATACTTCAGTTATATGGGAATCTACTCATCCAGAACACTGCACTCCCCTGTACTACTGAACCAGTGAGGGGTAATGACAAACCATTCAGAAAGGCAACATCGCTGAGTGTACCCCAATTCCAGAGACCAAGCAGAGCTGAGTATTCCCTGGTCAGAGAGCAAACAAGGCCTAGGAAGGTAGATCATGTCTGCTCTGCCTACAGATCTCTGCCCCTTCCTGAGTGGGCTTGGACCTGCCTCGAGCCTCTGTGACCCTGGCTTGCCCACTCTACAGAGACTGGAAAGGCTTATTTGGTTGCTGGGAAGAGGCAGCTAATAAGACCTTGGATCATCAGTCAGCTTAGTTCAGGAGGGTAGAGCCAAAGGGCTAAATGGTCCAGCATCTTCTGAATGCTCCAGACAACAGCACCTGCAAAGGACTGCACCCATTCATATTGGCCACCTAAAGTTAGAGATGTATAGGAATTCCAGCTGCTAGAGCACCCGTGCCAGTGATCTCAGTGGGTTCTCACAGGCCAAGACAGGGAGGATGAAACTTAGTCTGGAAGTAAAGAAACAGGCTCACAGGGTTAACCTGCCTGCCCAAGGTCACAGGCTGGGCAAGATCTCCTGATTTCTCCTACAGTTATGAACAGTGCTTCTCATACCTGGAAGCATATGAGGCAGCTTTAAAAAACACAGATGACCAATCTCCTTACCATTTTGTTCTAACTGTTCTGGATGGCGTCCTAGCATTCGAATTGTGTTAGACTGACTCTATGTGACTCTAAGAGGCAGTCAGCGTTGAGATCCTTCAACATGACCAGTGAAATGAGCATCAGCTTTGGCATGAGATGCACCTGAAGTTAAGTTGCAGCCCTGTTCCCAGTTGTGACCTTGGGCAAAGCACTGAACTTCCCCAAGACTGAGGTCACTGAAGGACTACTAATACTGTCTCACAGAATGGTTGGGAGGTACAATGGAGGGAAGATGTGTAAAATTCTTAGTGCAGTTCCTGGCACAGAGTTGGAACTCAACATCTACTACGAGTACTTCCTCAACTTTGCACAGCCAGGGCTAGAATACAGTTATGCCTGGGAATCATGGCTTATCAATCCTCCCCAGGACTGTTCATTCTCCTTTCCCCCCAGGAGAAACCCATCTCTGTTTATGGCTCTTGAATCAATCTCTCTCCCTGCCCCTCTTCTCTCTCTCCAGGTGCCAAAGGTGACCAAGGCCTGCCTGGCCCACCTGGGCCCCCAGGCCCTCCAGGTCCCCCAGGACCCCCCGGAAGTAGAAGAGCTAAAGGCCCGCGGCAGCCAAACATGTTCAATGGCCAGTGCCCAGGTCACCAGCCCCTGCCCCAGAGAACCCACCCCTTCGGCTAATGATCCCAAACTCTCAGGCTTTACAACCAGATTTTTTAAACAGAGGGAGGAGATTTTGCCTAAAACAAGAGTTTCCCCATGCAACATGTTGGTGGGTGGCTTGAGCAGTTTGCCCTGGAGGTGAGAACTTGTAGCAGGTTTAGAATTGGGCCTCCCATGCCCTTCCCTCATCACTCTCCCTTCATCTATCACCAGACTTCCTCTTCCTTGCCAAATCCACCATCCCTCTCCCCTGAAAGAGTCTCAAAGGCTAAGCCATTCACTCTGGGAACATGAAGGGCTTGGCTGATGCTGGGGAGACAAGAGGGAGGTTCAGATTGGTTAACTTCCCACAGTACCACAGTTCTGCCCTCACCACCATGAAGCTTTGTGTGCTAACCACGTGCAGGGGACAATGCTAAGTGATTGGTTCACAAAATAATACAGGACTTGGTATCACCACCAAATTATAGATACAAAACTGAAACCCTAAGAAGCTATTGTAGCTTACCCAAGGTCACTCAATTAGTAAGTGACAGAGCAGGAATTCAAACCAAAGTCTGACTGGCTCTAAAGTCCTGCTCTTAGAGCATCTTCCTTTCAGAGATGGAAATCCACACATAGAGACTAAGCCAACCCAGGGCAAGGGATGTCTGATCTCTGGCAGGCCAGAGGACTTGTGTGTTGGCCGATCTGTGACAGAGGTAGCCATGGGATTGAAAGCTAATTAGAAATCAAGGGCCATATAAATAGAAAATACTTTTAAGGTGATGCTAGAACTTCTTCCCAGAGTGATGACCCAGGACCGACTCCTGGTCAAGCCACAAGAAGACACCACTTGATGCCATCACATCAGTGGCAAAAAGGAGAGGAGGATCCTGACTAGAGTTTCTTTCGCACTTGCTATGGGCTTCCCTGCAGCTTCCCTACATGGTCTCTAGTTCTGTTTGGTGCCCTGGTCTTTTAGAAAGGCATTTTGGGGGCACACACTCAGCTGTCAGAGTGAGAAAATTGGTGCTTTCAAAGATCACTACCACCCTGCCCCCCAGTCAGTGCAGCCTAATTATAATTTTGCCCAGCAGTTAGCACCACGTGAAATCACAACCGAGCTGCCCACCTCTGTGGCTGGGACTCAGCACCACCCCCTCCCTTAGTTTCAGCCCTTTGTTCAGCTTCCCTTGGAGAATGAGCTGAGCGGAAACCTTCACCTGGGAAAAGGTGGAATATGACCTGAGCTTTTAGAGTCCCAGTTTGCTGAAGACTGTCACCCAGGGCACAGGTGCTGAAGAAGCACCCATCTCTGCCTGGCCTGCCTACTGAGTAGGGGCCAGGGCTCAGAGTGATGAAAACTGCTTAAAAGGAAAGGCCATAATCTTCCACTTGGCCTCCTAGAAATGAGTCCTTGGTTGCCAGGCATCCAGCATCTCAACTTGGCCTTCTCTTCTGCTCCAATTCTATTTCTTTAAGCTCCCTCCCGCCCCCACAGCTTTAGAATCAGGCTGGTACAACATGAATTAATGAGAGCCTTTTCTTCAGATAAAGAACAGGAGGGTCTCTCTGTCCCTTTCCTGTGCAAAACCCAAGTTCTTTAGCAGAAACTCCAGATGAAACTCAGAGGCAGCAGGATTGCATGGGGAAGAGGGAGTCATAACATATCCCCAAAACTGCTCTCATCAGGGCACAGGAGGACTCAAGGCAAACATAGGCTCATCCCACTAGAAAGAAGCTTAGAATACAGAGAGTCCTACCCTTTATTTTACTGATAAAAAAAAACCTCTCCAGATTATTCTGGGAGCTTTCCTTGGGACACTGGAGGTAATCCTTTCTACCTAGCAACTACAGGTGACTTGAACCCCTTAGAATTTGTCTAGGCAAGTGGGCCCGAACTTGTCTGGAAAGCCTGATTTACTTCAACCTGCCCTAGACCAGATCCTTCTCCCCAGCCAATCTGCTCCCTACCTTCACGCTGACGTGTTCCTCCCCACCTTCTCTGTCTTCTACTGCCCCAAGACACCTCTTAACCAAGGCCTGAATTTAGCCCATCTGTTAAAGGTAACAACTACAACCCAGATTTGATGACTTCTAGCTCAGTATAGCTTCAAACCAACTACAAATTGGGCATCTGTCAAGGACCCACATCCCATAGTATTTCATGCAGACACAGGTGGGAGGTGGCTGAGATTTCAAACACCTCCATGCTCCTTCTTCTTCTGTGATGCCTCCCTCTGTCATCCAGGAAGACAGGGTAAAGGGGGCCACCCTCTCATGAGGCCCAATAAGCTTCCCTGAAAGTGAAAATCCTTCCTGGAAAATGCAATCCATGATAGTGATACCTACCACCTGCCCAGAGAAGCCAGGAAAGTCTCAGTAAGGCTCTTCCTGCCCTCACTCCTCCCTCCCCCCAGAATGCTGAGGGCCTGAACAGACCACTTTTTCCCTTTTACTGACAGCTTGTTCAGATTTTATTATTTTAGAAACTGTGCTTCTGGAAAGCTTATTAGGAACTCACCAAGTGGTGGGGGTGCCAGGTGAGGGTGGGGAATTGGAAGTACGTGACTTGTTGCTTAAAAGCAAGCAACCAAAAAACTTGATAGACCTATCAAGTAAGGGATGCTTATAGGACTAGAGTCTGGAATGAGATGGGGGAGAGCACCAGTGACAAAGTTACACGAGTCTCATTGGACTGCCTACATTGGCTCTGATCATTGCCATTGTCGTTGTTTTAGGAGAGACATGTGCCATACCAAATGATGATACCTTGGTTGGAAAAGTGGATGAGAAAGGCGGGGAACACCATTCTCCACGAGCAGGTGCAGAAGCAAAACATCTTGTTCTGAAATTAAAAACTCGGATATCTTAAAGTCGTAACTGGTAAGTGAGTGACTTTCCTATCTCTTCTTTTGATAGAATCCATGATTGCTTCCATTGGAAATCCAACACAAGTACTGAAAGTTACAGAGACATTTGGGACTTGGATAAGAGAGTCTGCTAACAAGAGTGATGAGCGGATCTGGGTGACTGAACATTTCTCAGGTACCTTCACTTGGCAATGACCCACATCTGTGTGGGAGTTATGCCTTTCATCTGTTGCCTTCCTTCAAGCTTCTTCTATCTCTGTGTCTGAAATCCCTGCTGACAGGTGTCACAAAACTGCCCTTTATTTCAGAGAGCACATATGAGAGGGCAGAACACTTTTCTTAGTTGAGCACACTGGTGACAAGCCTTGCAGTCTTTGGTGACAAGGACATGACTGGGGTACTCCCAATATAACTGATCCAGTTTTAGGCAAATTATCCAGAAGGAAACAAATAGCATTATGACTACAGCCTTAAAATGCCCCAAACCATAATGTGGACTAAATGTAAGAGACAAATTCTTGTGCCCAGTCCACCTTTCTTTAAGGAGAGTACTTTTAGCCACCTTTCTTAGATATCTGTTGGACAGAGAGCCTAGGGGAGAAGGTGAGGCTCCATCTTGCAGACAGCCTGCATCTAAGCACGACCCTAGTCAGATTGCCCTGGAGGGACTTGGTCAGGGATTGCCAGTGAGGACTGCAGTAGTCTCATTCCAGAAAGGGTCTGACCATATTCACTGATCAGAGCGATAGCTGAGACACTGTGCTTCATTTCATCAGGGCTAAGTGATCAGTGGGTAGTAACTGTGCAGGTTACTAGCTGAGAAGGACTCTGACTCAGAAGGAAAGAGAAACACTGCGAATTAGTGGCAGGAGGAGGTAGGAGGTGACTGCCCAAGTGCCAAGTGTTTGCTGTTCCCAGTAGGGGCCTATATGGGTCTGATAGATTTTATGAACCATCTAGGGTGCACTGGGAGGGAGTGATACAGTTTTCCTGGGAGGAGCAAAGCCAATTCTGTGGCTCCTACCTTTGAAGCACAGTTCATGAATCCAGAGAAGAGAACTGGACTTAAGTTTGGGAGTCTGAGACTCCAACCTGGACATGGACCCTTGCAGGACACCTCACTCTCAATTTTCCTTCTTTGAACTTGCTCCCCTGATTCACTTCCAAGCTGTGATTGCCTCTTCCTGGCTTCCTCCCTGCAGGCATCAGGGTGAAGGAATTCAAAGACCAACCCTCCCTGTTGAATGGCACTTACACTCTCGTGCACCTCCCGTATTATTTCCATGGCTGTGGGCATGCCGTTCACAACAACTCTCTCTACTACCACAAAGGAGGATCCAACACCATAGTGAGGTGAGTCATTCAGGCCACGGCCCTCCTTCTCCTGCATCCCAGACAGCCCCTGGGTGGCGCTTTAGTAATCTGAGAGCTACTTAGGGGTAGGGACTGTGGTGCTGTCATCTTCCTGTCCCCAGAGCCTGGCACACAGAGGTCAGTCAGGGTTTGCTGAGTGAATGAACCACAGGACACAATGAGTGAGCCCCCTCACCCAGACCTGACCCGGGATCTGCAACATTGCTGGTGTCTCACCAAGAGTAAGGTGAGAGCCAGAGAGAAGTAGACCTGGAGTGATAAGGGCTGCAGTTTTCTCATCATATGAGAAAAGCAACAGCCAGAACCTCGCTCTCCCCAGGTGGGAAGGTATCACACACACTCAAAATTTCTGAAAAACTGTGGGTGTGAAGAATTTCATGTCACAGCTGAGATCACTGAAGACCAAGGATGACAATGCGTTTGGATTGATCTGTCACCTTAGCCAGGCCACCTCTCCTCTTCTCTGTTTTCCTGAGCGGAAGTAGTCTCTTGGGTAAGACTGTTCTCGGGGTGGCAGCCATGTCCTCCCGGCTCCCTGAAAGACTTGCTAAAATGTTGTCTTTGTGGCTCAAGAAGAAATCAAGTTCTGGGCCAAAGTGGCTTATCTTGGGCAAATGAAGAGAGCAGGGAGCTCGGTCACGTTCCAGCTTCGCCTACTCACTCCATGGCCTCAGACAAGACACTACCTCCTGTGGTCAGCAGCCCTCCAGCTGTGGCCTTATCTGAGATAATTCCAGCATTAAGAAAGCTACAGTCCAAGTCATTCAAAACAAGAGATAAGGACCTGAGGGAGGGCTGGGTCCCTCTTCTCTCGCCCTCACTGCCCTCCTCCACTTGGTGAGGTCCAACCGCAACAACTTTGCTAGCATTGGAGTGTGGGTGAGGATGGGGACGGGGCGCACAAAAGTTGTGGCTGGAAGCATCTCCCCCTCGCCTCCCTCTCCCAGGCTTCCTCGTCATTTCCATATCTCCCTGGCTACGTCTTTGGGCAAGTCTTGTGTTCACAGAAAACAACAACCAACCCACCTCCTGTTCAGAAGCCAGCGCGCCCCAGACAGATTCCTTCCTGTGACATTTCTCCTCATTTAATCCTGCAGCTCTCTACTGCCTGCCACAGCAGTGTTTACATAGGGATGAGGGTGGTAAGAGAGTTCCCGGGTGAGTGAGCCCCAGAGAGAGAATTGGCCTCTCCAAGCGTGTCTTCTAACGGAGCTACATGTGTCTGACACTGCTTTGGCCTGCTCTATGCCAGGCCACAGTAAGGGTGGGTGGGGGTGGCAGCCTGGAATTAGACCCTGTTTTTCCTGTGAGGGGACAGGCCTCCTCAAGAAACGTAGCTGCTAGGTACCAGACCAACAGTACGGATGGACCGATTGGCAGTCCTGAACTCCAGGCATTCAGAGGAAGGAGCAGAGGAAGGCAAGCAGGCTGTTCTCAAGGCCTCATTTTCCTCTGGTTTCTTCTCACACTTACCTCAGGGTCTCTTAATTGGCTTCAAGTTTGTTAGTTTAGATCCACCGCATATCCACAAATTCCCTCTTCTCCCATTTCTTCTCCAGCTCAATGGCACCCTCTTGTGTTTTTCTTCTCACTTAGCCTAACATTCCCGAATTTTCATTCCTGGAGTTAGGTTAACTTTTGAATCATAATCAACTTTTAGATATGGTCTGGTTTTGAAGTCTGCCTGGCCAGACAGCCTCCAGGAGCTGAGGACATGGGATTCCATGCCATAGCTAAACATATCCACTCACTTTTCTGACAAGAAAACTGACTTCATGGCCATGATTTGCCTACGTTTCTTCCCAGCTGACAACTTTCTTCTTCATTTAAACCACTGTGACATTTTTGTCTTAAAAATTCCAGCACAGGGTAGAGGAAACCCCACCAAACTTGCAGTTAGAAAACCTAAATTCAAACTCTGGCTACTTACTCATATTCCTGGGCTAGTCAGTTCTTTCTCATTTGTAAAATGAAGACTAGACTCAATCATTTTTTAAGGCCCTTTCAGGTCTAAGAATCTTAGGGCATTTCAGGAGGTTAGCAAACATCTGAGGAATCTTGAGGGTAAGGAAGTTTCCTGGTGTCACATGGCTCACAGGTGGACACTTAGATGTAGTCAGCATCCTTTACATCCTTGGTGCACAGAGCATTGTGGGTAAACCAGTAGACTTGGAACTTAGAAATGCAGAATCCCAAGCCCCACCCCAGTTTATTAGAGGAGGCAAAACAAACAAAAAACCCACCATTGTCCACAAAAGTGCTGACTTATATCTTCCTTTTATCACATTTCAGATTTGAATTTGGCAAAGAAACATCCCAAACTCTGAAACTTGAAAATGCCCTGTATTTTGATCGAAAATACCTTTTTGCCAATTCCAAGACTTACTTCAATTTAGCTGTGGATGAAAAGGGCCTTTGGATTATCTATGCCTCAAGTGTGGATGGCTCAAGCATTCTTGTCGCTCAGTTGGATCAGAGAACATTCTCTGTGGTCCAGCACATCAACACTACGTACCCCAAGACCAAGGCCGGCAACGCCTTCATTGCCCGAGGGATCCTTTATGTCACGGACACCAAAGATCTGAGGATAACGTTTGCCTTTGATTTGTTAGGAGGGAAACAGATCAATGCAAACTTTGATTTAAGAACTTCCCAGTCTGTTCTTGCCATGTTATCCTACAATATGAGAGACCAGCATTTATATTCATGGGAAGATGGTCATTTAATGCTTTATCCTGTGCGGTTTTTGTCAGCTACAATAAACCAGTGATGAGATGCATTCTGTTCCCCCTTGGTAAATTTCAGATGTTCTCTGTTACCATTAATATTCCAACATAAATCTTTAGGGTAACCAGATACTTAGCTGTCATAATCTCGTGACTTGAGTGTTTATATGGTCAGAGAACCGCCTTTAAATTCTGATTCCTTAGAGGAAAATAGCAGCAGTCTGGAAGTCAAGATGGCTATGATTTGGTGATTTTTCCACAGACCATCTGGGCAAGTTATCCTTCTCTCTTTGGGCCTTGTTTTCCTGACTGGTAATATGAAAGGGCTGCCAAAGATGATTGGCAAGATTTCCTCCACCTGTAGGAATTTCTGTGCTTCTCGGCTGTTGCTGCTTTCACAGCTGTTATATATTTGGTTTTGGTTTTGGGTTTTTAGCCACGTGTTGAGTAAATTTTACCTCCGAGTTGATAAGCTCGAGTACTTGAACAATGAATTCCTTAGTACTGACTTGTGGTCAGTGCTTTGGGAAGCTGCATGGACCCTTTAAGGCTCTGAAGGGGCCACATTACCCATAATATATTACCTTTCTCTGCACCCGCACCTGCCACCACAGCACCAGAATGCCCATCATCCTCAGCTCGTGATTGCCACTCCCAGGTAAACAAGAGCCAGGCACAGCTACACGCTCGGGTTTGCTAATGAAATAGAAACAGCCCCTTCTGGATTCTTGTTGGTCTGATCATGCTGTAGATCACAAACACTGAATCCTCCAGCCCCCTGGCTGCTGCTTTCACTGCTATGCATCTGCTATCCAAGTGCTAAATATTATTTGAGTAGACGATAATCTGGCTAGAACCATGGGAAGCCCTTTGCAGTTTTTGGAAGAGGCACCATTTGTGATTATTATCTAGAACAAGGGCAGGCAAATCATGGCCCTTAGGCTAATGCTAGACCATTGCAAGTTTTTGTGAAGTTGTGTTAGAACAGGGTCACTCGCCTTTGCTTGTGTATCAGTTTGTGACTGCTTTTACTCTACAGTGGCAGAACTGAGTTGTTGGAAAAAAGTTGAGAAGGGGCCCGCAAAACCTAAAACATATACTCTTTGGCCCTTTACAGCAAAAGTTTGCTGACTTGTGATCTAGGATATAGAGTGAGTCTGATTGTTGGCAGGGCTTATTCGCCAGACGCTGCTTGTTATATTTTGTTTTATTCCATACAAAGAAGAAATCCTGTGTATGGTTTGAGTGTTTGGTATAGGGGAAGGGTTAGAATAGCATAAAATTAAGTGACCTGCCCCAAAAGCAGTTAGTAAACCACTCTTTCCCTAATATAGTTTCAAAGGATATGTTCTGCTCCCATTGGAAGCCAGGAGAAAAATCCAGCTTAACTTGCACCTGAATGTCCTTAAGTACATATTTTCTGTCAATTCAGTTCTTCAGACATCCTGCAGCCTGGGGTATGGGCAGGGCTGCTGAGAGGAGAGAGGAATCAAGAAAGCTACTGGGGTCCCACAGCCAAGAAGGAAGGGACCTAGGGAAAATCTTACGTAAAGATTTTTTTATCCTTTTGATTTCACTGAATTCATGTGTGTGTTGGAGGAGAGCTATACCCTCAGGGTTTTTCATACTTGGGGGTCCAGAGTGTGGCCTGATAACTTATTTAACAGAAACATTTTAAAACTTAGGGGCTATACAGATTTGGGTATTTAAATCTCCCCACCCCCTGAAAACACTTAGGCAGCTACTGGGGACTTCTTTGTTGTTGTATTCTCAAAATAATGGATATTTGAAATCTTTCCTCCACGTTTCTGTTAGATTGGCTGTGTCTTGTCTAAAGTTTAAAAAAAAATACTCTTCAGATTCATGTTTTGTAATAAAATAAAATAGTTTCATGCTTAAGATTAACGCATTTAATGAATACTAGTCTTTTAAAGTATTTGAATATATGCATTTCTGTTTCTGGACACATTGGACTTGGATATGAATACAGTTTCATAGTAATGGTGGTAGTAGTAATATCTACATCCAACACTAATTTTATATACGGTAGCAACCAAAGAAGTTTGTTGAATTAGCACATATTCCTTTTAGAAAAAAAATTATAGAAACCTCAGTCTTGATATCTGAGCTATCCTGACTCCCTTAATTGTGGGTACGGGATCATATACTTATCGCTAGAGAAGCTCATATTTTTTTCCCATGTCAAACTAATATCAGGATAACTGAGTTATTCAGGGTGTAGGGTAACACTATAATGGGGTTGAAGGTTTGTCTTCACAGAAGGCAAAGAAGTCGGATTTTACTCATCCGTGCCTGCAAACACTACTTTATTTTTTAAAAAAAAGTTTGGGCTTACTGCTAAAGTAGAATGTACAACCTAATGTTTTTAAGTCAAGATATCATTTTAGAAGTTTACATTTGCTGCTTACAATCAAAGCTGCTTTAAAGTACTTTTCAAATATCTGCACTTCTGATGTCAGAATCAAAGCAGATAATTGGCTAATTCTTCTTTAATCTAAAATAGATAGCTTTCCCTTGGAAAGTAAATACAACTCTCCTCCCAACCTCAAAAGTAGGCCAGAAGCTATTTCAAAGCATTTTCTTTCAAAGTGATAATGTGTCCTATCAAAGCTGTGCAGGTGGTCGGGGTCTCAGTGGATTACTAAGCCTAGATGTTATGACAGAGAAAGAGTTCTGGGGTGAAAGCTTTAAAATGAGCAGTTCAGGGGCACGTGGGTGGTTCAGTCAGCTAAGCATTGGACTTTGGCTCAGATCGTGATCTCACGTTCGTGAGTTCGAGTCCCACTTCGGGCTCTGTGCTGACAGCTCAGAGCCTGGACCCTGCTTCGAATTCTGTGTCTTCCTCTCTGTCTGCCCCTCCCTTGCTCATGCTCTGTCTGTCTCTGTCTCATAAATAAATAGTAAAAAAAATAAAATGAGGAGTTCTGGGTTTAGGTTCCTTCCCAGTCATTCCCTTGAAGGTTGCCAAGTGAGGGTCAAATGAGACGCTATGATCCTTGAAGAGCCGGGAGTCATTTTCCAACTGCAAGGGTACATTTTGGCTATGACTGATGTCAAACCATGTGAAGTATGTGATAGGGCTTCTCAGTTTCCCCGCCTCTGCTGGAAGCTGGTGTAGCACACTACTAAAAGATGTGATGTCCAATCTGTAACCACAGATCTGAACAATTCTGAAAAATGAATCATGATGAATGTCTCTTTTTTGGATGTCATTTATTTAACGTTAGTCAATAAAATAAGTCACACGTTGAAACAAGTGTATGCTTATTTTTTACCTCCTGCTAATTTACATTTAAAAGAAAAAATAACAACCCAAAAGAGTATTGTGGAAGAATTACATTGGTTGCTCCTCTGTTGAAACTCTTGCAATTTGCTGACTCCTGAATACCGAAAAGTAATTGATATGGACTATGTGTTCTCTATAGGAAAACCTGGACAATGTAAAAACCAGTAACTACAACTGGAGACAGACATAAATGCAGTGAAGATCTACTAACTTACTTACATAGGCAAAGCAACTGGGAAGGACATAATATTTTGGTCTAAAAATAAAACAGGACAGATTTTTTTTTCAAATACTTTGAGAGAAATTTATTATAAATATTAGTGGGAAAATATGTCCAATTTATATAGTTTCTACTTGGATAACAGTAGCATTTTTTTTTTACAAATAGTTTATTTTCAAATTAGTTTCCACATAACACTCAGTGCTCATCCCCACAAGTGTCCTCCTCCATGCCCATCCCCCCCTCCCCCCCACATCCATCAGTCCTCAGTTTTTGTCAGCATTCAAGAGTCTCTCATGGTTTGCCTCTCTCCCTTTCCCCCACCATTTCCGCCCTTCTTCTCCCCCTTGTTCCTCCGTCAAGTTCCTCCTAATCCTCCTATACGTGCAAACATATGATATTTGTCCTTCTCTGCCTGACTTATTTCGCTCAGCATAACACCCTCAAGGTCCATCCATGTTGCTACACATGGCCAGATTTCATTGTTTCTCATTGCCATGTAGTATTCCATGGTATAGATAAACCACATCTTCTTGATCCATTCATCTGTTGATGGACACTTAGGCTCTTTCCATGTTTTAGCTATTGTGGAGAGTGCTGCTATGAACATTGGGGTACATGTGCTCCTATGCCTCAGCATTTCTGTATCCCTTGGGTAAATTCCTAGCAGTGCTATTGCTGGGTCATAGGGGAGTTCTATTGTTAGTTTCCTGAGGAACCTCCACACTGTTTTCCAGAGGGGCTGTACCAGTTTACATTCCCACCAACAGTGTAGGAGGGTGCCCATTTCTCCACATCCTTGCCAGCATCTAGAGTCCTCTGATTTGCTCATTTTAGCCACTCTGACTGGCATGAGGTGGTATCTCAGTGTGGTTTTGATTTGTATTTCCCTGATGAGGAGGGATGCTGAGCATCGTTTCATGAGTCTGTTGGCCATCTGGATGTCCTCTTTGGAGAAGTGTCTGTTCATATCTTCTGCACATTTCTTCACTGGGTTGTTTGTTTTTCGGGTGTGAAGTTTGGTGAGTTCCTTATAGATTCTGGATATTAACCCTTTATTTGATATGTCATTTGCAACTATCTTTTCCCATTCCGTTGGTTGCCTATTAGTTTTGTGGGTTGTTTCCTTTGCTGTGCAGAAGCTTTTAATCTTGATGAGGTCCCAATAGTTTATTTTTGCTCTTGATTCCCTTGCTTTGGGGGATGTGTCAAGTAAGAAGTTGCTGCAGTGGAGGTCAAGGAGGTTGTTTCCTGCTTTCTCCTCTAGGGTGTTGATAGTTTCCTGAAAATAGGACAGATTTTTAAAAAACTGAATTGGTGCGAATTTGGGCAGGTATCTTAATCCCTTAACCTCTGTTTCATCTGTAAAATGTATAATAGTATTACCTCCTTTGGTTTTTCTGTATGAAATGAGAAATGCTATGAAAATGATACAATTCTTGATAAATTATTGTTGTTACTTTTACAGTTCATCTTTAAGGAGAATCAGATTCTTGCAGCCTTATTCAAGGGTTGCAGGAATGCAT